GTACTTTCAGAATATGTGGACCATATAGGCAAAAAGAGTTTCGGAGATGGGAATTTTTCCGATTTTCTGAAAATGTTTAGGGTGACTTTAGGAAATTTTTCGATAAAATGGGCCACTGTAAAAAAATGAAGAAGGGTTCGGGGTTGAGAGGGGACTCAAACGAAAGGTTTACAGTGGCCCATTTTATCGGAAATTTTCCTAAAGTCACCCTAAACATTTTCAGAAAATCGGAAAAATTCCCATCTCCGAAATTCTTTTTGCCTATATGGTCCACATATTCTGAAAGTACACTCTTAGACCTTTCGTTTGAGCCCCCTCTCAACCCCAAACCCTTCTTCATTTTTTTAAAGTGGCCCATTTTATCGGAAATTTTCCTAAAGTCACCCTAAACATTTTCAGAAAATCGGAAAAATTCCCATCTCCGAAACTCTTTTTGCCTATATGGTCCACATATTCTGAAAGTACACTCTTAGACCTTTCGTTTGAGCCCCCTCTCAACCCCGAACCCTTCTTCATTTTTTTACAGTGGCCCATTTTATCGGAAATTTTCCTAAAGTCACCCTAAACATTTTCAGAAAATCGGAAAAATTCCCATCTCCGAAATTCTTTTTGCCTATATGGTCCACATATTCTGAAAGTACACTCTTAGACCTTTCGTTTGAGCCCCCCCTCAACCCCGAACCCTTCTTCATTTTTTTACAGTGGCCCATTTTATCGGAAATTTTCCTAAAGTCACCCTAAACATTTTCAGAAAATCGGAAAAATTCCCATTTCCGAAACTCTTTTTGCCTATATGGTCCACATATTCTGAAAGTACACTCTTAGACCTTTCGTTTGAGCCCCCTCTCAACCCCAAACCCTTCTTCATTTTTTTACAGTGGCCCATTTTATCGGAAATTTTCCTAAAGTCACCCTAAACATTTTCAGAAAATCGGAAAAATTCCCATCTCCGAAACTCTTTTTGCCTATATGGTCCACATATTCTGAAAGTACACTCTTAGACCTTTCGTTTGAGCCCCCCCTCAACCCCGAACCCTTCTTCATTTTTTTACAGTGGCCCATTTTATCGGAAATTTTCCTAAAATCACCCTAAACATTTTCAGAAAATCGGAAAAATTCCCATCTCCGAAATTCTTTTTGCCTATATGGTCCACATATTCTGAAAGTACACTCTTAGACCTTTCGTTTGAGCCCCCCCTCAACCCCGAACCCTTCTTCATTTTTTTACAATGGGGTATATTATATGAAATTTGCATAAGGCCGGCCGCAATTTAGTTCTGCAAATTGGTGGCGCATTGTCAAATACGCTCACATACTGCGCACAATTCTGTTCTGCAAATTGTGGCACATTCTCAGTTACGCTCACACTTTCTCTCTCTCTCTCGATTTAGTTCTGCAATTTCGCATTCTCTCACTCTCTCTGTCTTAACCCTATGTGAACCAGCGAAAAAGTTTGGTGGTTTGTGTCTTTGCTAGTTAAATTTTAAATTTATCTTCACGGACATGCTCTTCCCTCCCACTGGAACACCTGTTCCACCTTGGCAATCAAAATATCTTGATATTGCCCCCATACCTACCCCTTCTTTGGCACGTCACCCTCCTAACCTTCAATTAAATTTCCTTATCTTTTCCGTCAGTTCTTTTATTTTAAGTGGAGTAAAAACAAAGGGACAACATTAAGCTTTTGTGAATGGGAGCAACTAACTCCTGGTGGTTAATTACCTGTCCTACCTGCCTAGAGAGAACTCTGTCTATTCGGAGAGGATTTGGGAATAAAAAATATGAATAAAAAAAGGTTTATGGGCTGTCCGTCCGTGCAAAGTAACTATCAATAAGTTTGGCGGTAAGTAATGAGTTACAGTCAATAGCTCGATTTACACCATATCCGTTTTATATTCTATTATTTTTTAAGGTACCTCAGCACCGCGGAATGCCTGGTGCTCAACAGCGGATCCAACGATGGGCAGAGGAGTAGGGATCAGTGGTCCAAATATCCACTTCCTGCTCCCAAGAACTCCAGAAATAAAAAGAAAGCACTTTGACTATTTTACATGGCTTATTGGCTCGCTATTTCCAATATGTTTTCCACTTTAAAATTTCCCTTTTTAAAATGACAGGATAAACAAACCATATGTCACTTGCTGTGACAGACAAAATTATACGTGTTTCGGTATGTGTCGTATAGATGGCGTGAGTACGCACATGACAAGATTCCGAATTTCCACTTGCCAACTTTGGGTGGAGTGACCTTATCCCTTTCTGTAGAAGCAGAATACCTTGGTAAAATCCTTTATAACAAATTAACGTGGAATAGGAATGTTGAGGAACGCACTAAGAAGGGACTAATAGCACTCTATTCCTGCAATGGATAGCACTCTATTCCTGCAATGCATATGGAGGCCTTGTATGGGGACAGGGGGTCAGCAAAAAGATTCTGCGGACTAAAATGAATACCATACAGCAATCCACTTCGATCCTGACTACCGGAGCGCTGAGAAGCATACCACAGGCAGCCTTGAATGCAATCTTGAACCTTCAACCACTGGACTCCCTCATTAAATTCCAGGCTGCTAGATGTGCCCTGAGGCTCCGAGAAACGGATCCCTGGAAATCACTGAATTTTGGTTACGCAAGTATCCTCCATACGACGCCAGGTTGTGCCTTCTTGAGGAGTAATCACATTAGTGACTATGTCCCCCCTCATAGAGATTTTAATGACATCAGAGTAGAGTTTTCTAGTAGAGAATCCTGGACTAGTGACTCCTTGTCTCGCCAGGTCTGTCGTTTTTCACAGACGGGTCAAAGATGGAGGATGGCACTGGAGCAGGCGTTTACTGCAGGGAATTAAAAATCTACAACTCATATAAGCTTAACGATCTTTCCAGCATTTTCAAGCAGAAATCCTTGCAATCACGAAAGCGGCCGAGATAGTCAAAACACTTAATGCCGATAGTACGCGGGACCGGTGACTATATATGTCGGCCCTCAAGGCTTTAAAGTCGTGCACTATAAACTCAAAAGCAGGTCGTGATTGCAAGGTATTATATACGACTGATAGTTAATTTATGTTGGGTTCCAGGACATAGATTGCTCCAGGGGGCTCACAGTCGCCCAACCTTTCGATTGAGAGATATGTGCAACCGCTCATTGGCAGAATCCGCTTGATCTACGGCGAGGTAGTCGGCAACATATGTTCAAGGGAATCTGGTTGCAGAATCTCGAAACCTATCTAGCCTGAATTCTCTCGCCGAAGAACTTCTTCGCCGAGAGAATCTTATGAATATTGAGAAATGCAATAAAATAAAGTTTAATGCAACAGTCAATCAGTAAATATTCACCCCTATTCCGTATGTCGTCGTTGTCGACGACGTTTCTCTTTCGACATCACTTCGCATCGACATCGACATCACTTCGACACTGATTTGGTATTCTGTAACACTCATGCGACGATGTCGACTATTTATCGATAATATCAATAAAAACAAAAAAATTGTTGCATATTTTTGGGCAAAAATGAGTTTGTATCCGTCACCTCACTGTGGCACAGGGTAAATGTGTCTGCAATGACCAAAAAGAAACGAGATAGACCCATAGTTTCTTTTTATTATATATGTACATAGAATTATTTTTCAGTCGATTTATGCATGTCCCTCCATCCATGTATTATTTTAAACAAGTTACATGCCACCATTATGATCCGAATGGGATGAAATTTTATTTGGCGCATAGACGATTCCTGTTGATATTGGTCAAAATCGGTACAGATTTATATATAGATCCCATATATTTTTCTTTATTTACACTTTATTTTGCATTAAGTATTGAATAGATTCTAGAATGATGTATCATGTTCTTGTCCAGTCATGTTTTTTTTTTAATTTCTAAAAAAAAATGTTCAAACGCTTCAGTCGTCAACAAAAGCTATGACGAAGAAATCTTCGACATCGTCGTCGTCACACATTGTTACGGAATACCAAAAATGTTTCAATAGTTATCGATAAATGTCGACAACGACATAGGGAATACCAATTTGCAAAAGACGACTCTCTTCGACGTCGTTTCGTGTCGACGACGACATACGGAATAGGGGTGATTGTTAAAATGCAATTTTAACATATTTATATATATATATATATATATATATTTTATTTGTATGCTGTCTTGACCGATTTGGCGTATTGTAACGACTTTCATAATACCGATTTGTCGTATAAGTGCGACAGTCGACACGATAACGTCAACCGTAATAAGGGAAGATATGAAATTGATAACATAACTTTCTTCTCCAAAATAGACCCCAAACAGATCCTAGGCTTTGCCAAGAATATGACATGGCTAAAGTAACCACTTTTCTCGGCTCTCTGACTCCGACTATCTTTCCTCTCTTCCACTCCCTTTTCTTTTTCTTTTCAGTTACCTAGAATGATCACAATGGACAATTGTCTCCGAGTGAACCGTTGCAAATTAGCAACCGTACATCCATAACCTAACCTACTGAGTAAATATTACTGGAAAAGTAACCAGACAGCTATTATTGCATCAAGGTTGGTGCAAATGTGTATACAGCCCAAATTATTTAAATCGCTTCGTATTTGAACTGTACCATCTGAAGTATTTTTGATTCTTGTAACCTACAGACTAATTAAAGTTATTTTTTCATCGATATTGCAATTGCTTTTCTTGATATTGTATCTCCCGAAGGCAAGGATGTGGCAACGTCAAATTTAGTTCATATCCTATTTAGGATAGTTGCATTAAATCTGTCCAGTCATGGAAAATCATTGACAAAAACCTAAATTTCTGCTGAACGAATTTAAATTGATAAAATTATACACAGGTAAAGCTAACATTTTTAAAACTTATTCCAGTCATTTTTAGTGATATAATTTTGTAATCATTTCTGTTTAAATACAGTATATGGCGATTACTGGTACTTGCCGACATTTGGAGCAGCGCGTACCTTATGACAAAAGTAATATTAACAGCTACAGAAAGATAAATCAACTTCGATTTATTTCAATTGGAGGTAGTTTTAATAATATCCATTTATGAAGTTCGTGCAACTCCTTACGTTTTAATTCGTGATATGTATCCGTTAAGGTTGTAAAATTTCCCTTCACGCCCAGTTTTGTTAATTTGTTGAAACTTAACAAACCCCATTCTATCGGGACCAGATCATCTCGATCTCCATGAAACATAAGTAAATCTGGTAAATCAGTCTGACCTTTTGTAAGTTTTGAAAGTGATTCGTATACAACCGAGTCGTGATTTAAAAACGACGAACATGCAAATACTCCTGCAATATTTGTATTCAGATGATAACCAGTATGTAAAGCTAATGCTCCACCCATTGAAAATCCTCCAACAATAATACGTTCTAATGGAATCCCATTTCTAACTTCATCATTAATAATATGATGGATTGCATCATATATTTTTGACATGCTACTGCGATTTTCTGGAGCCGCTATTGATATAGAATCCCGATCGAACCACACATTTGACATCTGACCTCCGTTCGGGGTATATGGTTGTAAAGGTGCAGTTGGATATACGAGTTTAATGTGGTCAAATTCCAGATTTCGCCTCAGTAGTATACGAATCCAATCCATTAAATTCGTTCCATTGTCTCCTAAAATTTAATATCTGTTTAAATATAACATTATAGACAACAAATAAGTTTACCAGAACCATGGAGGAATATCACGGTTGCACTATGAGTTCGACCAGTGTGGCGAATCTGATTACGAATTAAATTCATTAGGATATATCTCCTTCCGTCAAGTTTTGAGTGTAAGCAATAGAGTTGTACAGTTCACGAACGAACTAGTTCAAATGAACCAAGGTAGATATACAAGGTAGCCGCATCGGCGAATTTCTACAACAAACATCGGTTATTGTATTTTGATATGTCAAAAATATTTTGACAAAACAAACAGATTGACAAGATTTTTTTACACAAATTCTTGTAGAAAATGTTAATAAAAGTATTGCCAAAAAAGCTCTTCGAAATTCGGAGATTTTTATTCATAATTTTGTTTTTTAATTTTTTGGTTCAACATTACAACAACATTTTTGACATTTATTTGTCCAACAGCTGGGCCGATGCGGCTACCTTATTAAATATACCTTGAAATGAACGATTCACTGAAAAGAGAGACTGAACTAGGTCTCACAAAGTCTTTCTTTTTAGTTTATTATACCACGGGTATTCGAACGACGTTGTTTGCTCGCTGAAAAACGTACATGAATAAAACCGTTCACACAGAATTATTCTTAATTTATCCTTGTTCATCGCCTATTTATCTAAATAGAAAAATAAATCCTCCCTCTCCTGATTATAGATAAAATATATGGTTAATTACTATACATTCATGTTTTTTATAAAAATGTCGTTTTGATACAAATTACAACTAAATGAGAAGAAATATGTATTGGAATAAATAGAAAACAAAATTATCTTCCACCTAAATATATAAAAATCGTTCAAATTTCTATTTAATTCACCAATCCACGACTTTCTTTAAAAATCTACACTGTATAGGCCGATAAATTCTTCTGAAACTTCTGTATGACATTCCAAAAGTACATCTACATATACGTTTTTAAATCGAGTCGATTAACTAAATCCAGAAAAACACCCTAATAGTACGTTTACATTAAACCGGATTTGGTTAACCTAGTGGGTTTCAATTGTCAATTCCTTTGCATATATGTCAAATAAATCCTCATAAAGAAGGTTAACCCGGTAAAAAGTTCTAATGTATATACCGTTTAATTGTTTACACATACCTTTAATCATGGTCTAAATACGGATCAGCTGATGTTTGTTAGTATACATACAAAATTATAAATTTGCTGCAAAAATATTTGTTTGCAATTTGAACATGAAACGAAGAATTACAACAATAGAAATGTTTTTGCAATAGTGCGATCGTTTGAAAATTATAAAAAACAACGAAAAACACAAAAATTCTATAAATTATTGTTATTTAATTTTTGTATTTGGTAACCGTAAAATTTAAAAACAAACAACATGTGAAAACAGTTGCAAATTTTGGTACATTGTTGTACCAGAGTTGTATTTTTTAGCACAAAAACCGCGTTGCATCTCAGTAGTATCATGATTTAAAATAAACCATGCCGCACGATGATTTAATTTTGTATGGTAAATTTAGCCTGATTAAGAAAATAAACCCTGATTCGTCCTTTAATCATGATCAAATCTTATATGTAAATCCGCTTCAATAAAACAAAACACAAAACATGTTTTTATTAACACATGATATAATAAATGAAGGTAAAAGCAAGTGTTGTTGTACAACAAACGATACAACAACCACATGGAAATTTGTTGTTGTAAGTTCTACTAGTGTCAACTCATTTGACAGAAAAATGTAAACAAACTAATTATCATCAAATTATATTTATTTTGAAAATGAAATATTTTTGAATCCTCAAAATAAAAATTGAAAAACATGAATGAAAATCTATCACATTTATATTTCTATGACTTCCACATCTTTCCTATAATTGAGCCATTGACACTTATATGTGTAACACATATGAAAATGCAAGGAATTGCGAGTTATTCCATGAAGAAAGATTTGCTTCCTCAAACTTTCCCAGCAGGCAGATTGAGTAAATTGAATACCGGAGCATATTTAAAAAAGAACAATTTCAAATTGTATGCGTTCCCAATTTTCCTCTTGGGTGATTTTTAAAAACATAATTTGTGAAATTCATATTGACACTAGTATTACCTTGGAATCAAATCAGCTGGGATTTGCTGCTACCTTTTATAATTGTACCATGTTATTAACACAACACAACAAATCTTTCAAGAACTCGAACTATCAACTGAAACATGATTGAATAATAAGATGCTGCACCAACACAAAAACATTTGTTACACACTTTGACAGTCATCTGTGCTAAATTTCCCACCTATTTATTGTGCTAGGGTAGTATGTAAATTCGACCATAAACTCAATCAAGGTGCATAAAACAGGTTGTGTAAGAACAATCCCTATCGTATATTTTGGTTGAAAACTCCCCGCTGTCAAATTTTTTGTTCACGTTTTTATATGATTGAGTCAAAATTGAAAGCATTTTGACAGCTCGGGTGAAATTATCTGGTCTTATCGAACAACTTTATAATTAACTTTATAGTACGTTTACATTTAACCGGATTTCGTTAACCCAGTGGGTTTCAAATGTCAATTAATTTGCATATATGTCAAATAAATCCTCATAATGTATATGCCCTTTTTCCAATGTCCTGATTTAGATTAGGTGTTTACTTGCGGCATTTCTTATCGTTCTCTTTTGAACTTACTTCATCCGTCTATACAAGGCAACTGACCACTTAATTGCCATTTTTAATTTTTTTATTTGATAATTTAATATTTGTATTCACATAAACTTTTTAAATCATTATTTGTTGCAAATTATTTGCTACATTTTAAATTTGAAATTAATAAAGAATATCAAAAAATAATAACCATGCAACAGCAACAATATGAAACACACAAAACTATTTACCAGAAAATTTCCGGTATGAACAATTATTTAAATTTCTATAACCTATACCTATAGAGTTTGCACGTGCGACGACTGACTAATTACGAATGAGCGTCAAAGCATAAATTTCAATTGCATGCAATGATGCCAGTGTGTAGATACCGTCTTACCTAATTTACGAATGAACGTATAAACATATCAGATTCTTGTGCTAATGCTAGCGTGACGCCAGGGTTACCGTTGTGCGACTAAAGTCGCAATTTGCAACCTTTTTGATGCTCTGTAACTCAGTTTGCAACTTTTTAAGCTTTGTGCGACTTTTCTTTACTGCGTATGTTAAGTTATATTTTCTTTATTTTCTTTTTTATTTGTAAATTCAAACTTATTCTGATTCGTCTACTTCGTTTTTGAGGTCCAAGGGTATCTGACATATTCTAGGAACAGTTTAATTGACAATTTTACTTTTCTGTGCGACTTTTTTCAAGGGAACGACTTTTTGTGCAACTTTTTTAAAATTCCCAACGGTAACACTGTTATCGTGTAATAAAATTCAGACAGACATTTTCAGTTTTAGTTCGCAAATTTGCGCTTTGGATACGCGTCAAAATGGTCACTACTGTTGGGGATCTTAGTAAGGAAGATTTAAATGGTTTTTCTACCGCAGAGAATACAAAAACTAGTATTGTACGTATTCTGGAACAAATAAGGCGATTCCAGGATCGTATTCGGAAACATATAGAAGATAACTATGTCGATTTTATACCAAACCATACCGCTTCTGACGTGTATATAGAAGAAGGCGAATCCCTGCTCCGTGAAACCGAACATTTACTAAAAAACGTTGGAAGTGACGCCCGATTGGCGCTAAACAGCGCCAATATTGAACTAAGCCAATGCCTGGAAGAGTTACGAGAAGTTACACTGGGCCTTAAACTTTCGCATCGTATACTTAAAATAGATGACATTTTCCAATGTTTGGAAGAATCGAACGCAACAAAGGAATATCTGCGCGCTTTGAATTTGTTAGGAAAACTTAAGTGTTTAATATGCAGCGACACTTCGTCCGATGTGGACGTGTTATTTCAAAAGTGTGAATGCTATGACACAATTAAAGTGCGATATCATATTCAGTCTAACATTCTGCAACAGAACTTGCAGGCAAGATTTGAAAGCTTGGTGCAGTTTTCCGAAAAAACATTTCCATCTGCTAAAAGCGTCAACTTACAAGTTTCCAAGGATATTTCGCAGTTGCAAGATACCGTTTTGGCACTTTTTGAAGTATGTACATCTGTTAAATAAATGCAATAGATATATTTAAAATATCTTTTTTTGTAGGCTCGTTACAACCCCATGAAGTTGTGCGATTTTCTTTTGGAGAACTGCTTATTACCAATAATAACCAGACCTGTTTCCGTTGAATATTGCATCGATAAGGAGGATTACTTTCAAATAAATATGTCGTATTCCATTAAGGAAGCAAACAAGTGTCTGCGTCCATCTTACAAACAAGTATTTATGCATGTTAAATCACTTTTTGAGTGTTTATCTAACATAAACATCAATGTTTCGAGCGATAAAACCGTATTTGGCGTAATTGGAAACCATATAAAAGAAAGATTTATAAAACTTTTGATCGAAGAATGTTTGATGCATTCGATTCCGGAGACAATGGACGAGTTCCAAGAGTCAACTCTTCTTGAAGATCTCAAACAATTTGAACAAATGCTGAAAGATATATCATTTTTGGAAGCCAATACTGATAAAGATCTTTCAAATTTTGCTGAAAAGTTTAATTTCCTATTCCAGGAGAGATTTTCTGTGAAAATAATTGAAAGCGCCAAAAGTATTATGCAAAAAGACTTGCAAGATATGATGGTTGTTTGTGAAGGAAATACATCGGACGAAGTGAAAAGCAATAAATTTTTGTTTCCTCAATGTATGATATCTAAAAGTACTTTGGTATGTTATATATATTAATAAATGCAAACAATGCGTCGATTATCATTTAACACTTTTTATATATAGGAATTGACTAAATTAATGGAGCGTATAATGAGGCAGACAACTAATTCTCCGGACATTAATTCGTGTTATAATGAATTGAACATTTTTCTACCCGTAATATCAACAATACTTAACATGTATTGTTGTGAGGTCCCAAAAATTCACGATAAATTATTGGAAAGTATACCACAGCAGTCAGTACTTTTCTACAACAATTGCATGTTTTTGGCGCACTGGGTTGGTAAAAATTCAGACATGGGAATTCCGACTCATTCTGTACTTGTAAAAACATTGCAAGCAACAGGTTTGCGTATATTCAAAGCACAAGAGGAAAAACAACAAAAAATCATCCTTGAAATAATGAAAAATTTAGGTAAGTCGGCTATCAACGAAATTAGAGAAATGATTTATTCTTCCAAATTATTTTCAGACGTTTCCGATACTCATTCAATTGGATCTACGCCATTAAAACTGATTCGCCAATGTTTGCGACAAATGGAACTATTGAAAAATGTCTGGTTGAATGTACTACCAGAATCCATATACAACAAAACATTTTCATTCATTCTTAATGATTTCTTTCAAGATATCATCCGTAGAATTCTGTGCCTAGAAGACATATCGGCTACAGTGGCGAGTGAACTGAGCGAACTAATTGGTGTAATTTTAACAAAAGTACCAGATTTATTTAAGGTATGCATATTTATATGATTATACCCTCCTCCTAAAGGTAGTGTGTATTTTAAATTCTATTAAATGATAGGTTGATTTAGCCATAGCCAGGCCTATTTTAGGAAGGCAGTTTGGAATTTTTTTTTTTTTTTTGCTACTAATTAGGAACTGTTATTCCTTAGCCGATACCTAGGACTTTCAAAATTGATATTGAATATTGTATTCCAGTTTAACAAATCGTGGAAGTTGTACATGATATAAAATACTTAAGCATATATAGTAGTAGAAGGGAAAAGTGTTTTAATTAACATTCGAGTCATCGAGTTCTGTTTCCTATAGTTTCGTCTTTGGGTTTTAAAATATATGTGTACAAATATATTACACATTCTATTATGGAGTGATTTAACTAGTAGTATTTTTAACATCCATAGACTTTAAAGACGTTTTCGTCTGTCAAAAGAATCTTTAAATATGTTGTTGAAAAAATAAATTTGTCTGGGCACATTTCGACATCTTCTTTCTGCTGTGCATTTAGTTTGTTGCATTTTTTTTTAAGCTTCTACTGAATGTTCCTTTTTTTATCAGTGTCCCTAAATGCAAGTAATATATGTTCTTAAATGTATTATGCCAAAATAAATAATACAATTTCACCAACTTCTTGCACCTTTTTGCTTACATTTTTTTCCGCGCAAAAGTCGACATACTTATTGACTAGCTATCGTGTACAACTTCGATTACAACAACAATTCGATAACGACTGCGGTGATTTGGCCCCAGTATAAGTCTATATCACACAGCTAAGACTTTGTTGATCTACTCATATGTAATGTATGACTGTTGTCCTATACACCATAGATGTTGTGTTCGATTATATAAATTAGCTACATATCTATGATCTTTATTTTCTTGTAATTCTTAACCCAAATTATATTTAAGAACAATGTTTGGAATGTACTCTAATTTAGATACATATTTTTTTAGGAGAAACAAGAAGCCTTCCAGGTACCTTCTTGGATGAAAATACAACAATTGCAAATGATTCTAAATGCTTCTTTGCAAGAAATTACGGACCAATGGTGTGATGGGGCTGGAATTTTGACTGCTAATTACAAAGCTGAAGAATTGCGTCATTTAATTAGGGCTCTGTTCCAAAATACAGATCGTCGAGCAAAAGCATTATCAAAAATTATTTAAGATATAAAGTTTGTATATCACATTTTTAGTAAAACATATTTGTAGTTTGTAAGACTCATTTATATACTACAACTAAAAATAAATATATAATACAACTAAAAATAAATAATACACCATCTAAAACATGAAGAAAAGATGCTTTCGTATTTTGTTAATAAAGCATACCAAAATTCAAAACGAACATTTTCAATGTTATATCGAATTTATAACAAAAATTGGATAACATTCGTATCCCTGTATCATATTTTAACCCCTTGACGTATCAGTTAGCGCAAAGAAATTCGTGTCCAACTGTTCACACACAATTTGCACAAGACAAACCAGTTTCGATGTTTACAAAACGAAAGAAATGTGAATGCGTGTAATCAAACTATTTATTTTTGATGTTGTTGTATTTTATTATTATTAGAATCGAAAAAATAATAAAAATTAAAAAATTGAAATGCCCAATTTAATTTTTCTAAATAAAAAACTGACCACGAGTCTGACTTGTGTTAATCATGTTTGGCACAAAAATTGTACCACGAGTCAGACTCGTGGAAATACGTCAAGGGGTTAAAGAGTTTTTATCTAAGATTAGATAAACAAGCCAATCATGAATATCAACTCCGTAAGGAATTTTCTTTTAATTTGTTACAACTCACTTTTTGCAACTGTTTGAAAGGGTGTAAAAGCGGAGAAAACCTGAAGATGAGCTCAACTCCTTGTTTTTTTTTTGCCGAATGGCAAAAGATTTGGATACATTTGGTTGGGGAAAAAGAAATCCATTATACTGATAGATTTCTCGTAAAGTATCGATCAAATTATTTCAGACATTTCGTTGTAAAAAATAGTTTTCTGTTTTTTATTTGGTGCATTCAGTTGTAAGTTACAACAAGGAGAAAATTCGGTACATTTTACAGTTTTTCTTTGACAAAGGCGAAAATGCAAGCCAAGCGGCAAAAAATGTGAATGGTGTTATGGTTCCGATACTGTAACAGTCAATTATGTGCAATTTCGTAGATTCCGTTCAGGAATTTTTGATGTTAAAGATGCACCTTGCACAGGTGGGCCGTTCGTCGAAAATGTCGATAAAATCGGAGAAATGTCCGAAGTTGACCGGCGTAAAAATCTACCATAAAACTGTTTCAAACCATTTACAAAAAAAAAAAATAAATAAATAAATAAATAAATAATGGATTTCTTTCCCCAACCTAATATTAATGCCAATTTGATTTGTCATAAAATAAGGGTCAATAAATTAAATTCGAATTTGATTTGTCATTCTGCCATTTTGGGAGGACAAAAATACATAAGACAAAATTATGTCCACAACTATATATAAAAAGGGAACAGGAGGCGGTCCAAAAAAGGAACAACCCCTTAACGGAAGAAGCTGTATATAATCTATTGGGAGTGAAGTCTTATTTCGCTAACAATACTAACAGCAAAGTAACTACAGTAGTTTTCGTTTATAGTCCACAACTATAGTTGCACAATTTTTGTGGACTATAAGCGAATTAGGACTATATCCGAATTTCGTTTTAAGCCCTTTATTGGACTTTACGAATCCTGATATAACACGTTATGGACTATACACAACGTATGTACTTTTCTTTTAAATAAAATTAAAGTTTAATAAAAACAAATTCATATATATATATAGTGTATTCTTCATCATGGAAATTATTATGACATTCTTCAACAGGCCAGTCACCATTGTTTCTGACCACGCATTTCATTAAACCATCTATGAAGCACCTTTTCTGTGACGCAATGTTTTAGATTACACAAATTTGAAGCCTTTTTAATTTTACAACTATTTTTACTATTTTATAAGCAGTTGATTTATGCATTTTGTATTTGGCGCCCAGTTGTCTACATCCATTCCATTTTTATAGTCTTTTAATAATTAAATTTTTTCTCCACACAAAATATAAAACCTTTACCCAATTTTGCAACTTCTACGAATTTAATTTTTTTTTACATTCATAGAAGTTGCCAGAAATCTAATTGCCACGCCAGTTTAAAATATATAAAAACAGAGCGGACTATATGAATTTCTTTACTGTGCAATATTAGTTTTGAATGCACAGAAAATGTGACCTTTAAACGAAAATAGACTATATGCGAAGTGGACTTAAGAACAAATAATTTGTATGAAATTGGAAAAACTTGTCAGTAAATAGTACTGTTTTCGCTTATATCCGTTTTTGGCCTTTGAGCGTAATGGATTATAAGCGAAAAGTACTGTAAGACAAATATTAGATTCAGATTTATGCCCGTTGGACAGACGACAGTCTTAATTTAACAGCCTTAATTCAAATTAACTTGTACATTATCATCATTTCTATGTCTTGTTAATGCACAAATTCAAACTGAATTTATACTGAATCAGGCAATTTCAATATGGCAATGCAGTCAAAATTAATTGTTTCTTGTCAAATTTGTTTATGTTTATGAAAATAACAAATAATGCAAATTTCAACCTTTTTTTAAATTTGGAACTGTTTTGCTATGTTTTGCTATTTGGAACTGTTTTATGTCATATATATATATATATATATATATATTCTAAAGATATATATTTTCTAAGATGTAAATCCCGAAAAATATCAAAACAAGTTAAGTTTATTGCGACAAACAAATGTTTTGAAACAAAAAAACTGTTTCGTAAATCTGTCTATGGTATTAGAAGCACTACAGAGGCAATTGAATTTACCAATTTCAATATGGCAATGCTGTCGAAAATCAATTGTTTGTTGTCAATTTTTTATGTTTGTTTGTTTTATGTATGTGTTTGTATAAAAAAGCTAATTTTAGATGCATTTCAATATGTTTGTTGCTTTTCCAAACAGAATATTTGTTATTCCCGCTTTTTACCGTATATGACATTATAAAAATATTGGATAAAATTAATATTTTTTCGAAATTGCAGAACCTGTCGTCTATCTGGGTAAAAAGTTAATTCAAATTAACACCATCGCACTATAGGTAATTTGCCCTGTTTTTGAGGCAAAAATTAAAAACAGCGGTTTTAAACGATTTTTTTGAATTTTTAAATGATATATATGTACAAGAAAGAGAAAACGCAGATTTCCACAGTAAAAATCGGATATAACGAACAACGGTTATAAGCAACTACACATATAACGAACAAAGCTAAGTCTTTCCCAGATATTTTCATTAGTTGTTTTATACACATCAAACGGTTGAATAATTATTACAATGTCGTATGTTTTTGCAGAATGCATTAATAACGATTAATACAGTACCCATTTATATTCCTTAAGGGCATTAATATGTAAAAGTGAGATAAAACCATGCTTACTACAGCCGATCAGGATTATAGTAAACACGTGATATACTGAACAAAATGTTTTCATATGCCACATTTTTTATTTTTTAATAAATCCTGAAAAAAGTAAAAAAAAATAAATTTTTCATGGAACTTAAGCCCGCCATTTCCTGTTCTCCACTATTTAGATTTTTTTCTCATGATCATTCCTTCGACAACCTATTTGCGGTTTAAGAGTCACGTTATTTATTTTGTAATCAAAATTCGTGTGTATTCGTTTTTTTCGCGGAAAAGTTCTATCTTCCTATGTCATTTGGTGCATCTTGACAAATGCATGCAAAATAACCTAATTTCCTATTTTAATTTGATGTATTTTTCGTCCATATTGTTGTTATTGGCAATTTTACTTGCGGGGACGTTGTGAGCAACAATATGTTTCTTTGCTTTTGTGTCTTTCATCAAACCAAATATCGAAAATTTTATTGTTTTTTATTCTGAAGTTCTCTACAAAAAAACTGGTATATCTTGAAAGACGCAAAAAATCGTAATTTGAGACCTATTGGAATCAATTTAGAAGGCTTTCATTTATATATTTCAGTTGTCAAAAGATCAGACAAATTTAAACATTTTAGTAAAAGTCTATCAAAAATGACTTATGTGTAAAAAATATACACATTTCTTTTATTATAGTCAACTATGTAAATTTTGAATCGCTACACAAACGTATTAACAAATATTATCAGCCTTATTCTGGATGTCAATTCCATGTGAATTTACTCGCTCTTCCCCTTCGGCTTATTCTGAACAACATTTTCCTGTGAATTTTTTCGCATTCTCGCTTTCGCCTTATTCTGAATGAAGTTCGAAAGCGAAAAAATCCGCTTTGGGGAAAAATTAGGTATTCTGAATTACAGGGAGTAGGAGAATGAGATGAAATTTTGTGCGAAATTTTTCGCTAATAAATTTAAAGGGAGTTGACTACAAAAACATAAGTAATAACTAATTTTATGAAAAATATCTACACAATACTTAATCTATGACGATTTAGAATATTATAAATTATAGTAAGCTAATTTTTAACTGGAAAACAACCAATAAAATGCCATTGGAAATCCTATTGATAACGATGCATGCTGAACCAAGTATTGCCAAGGAATGTATGATGGTAATAAGGAATATTTAAGTCGAGTTTGATGCATTTTGGAGGCGAAATACAGACATTTTGGGTGAGGATCTGTCTCTCAAGAAAAAAAATTTAAAAATTATGGAAAACCCAAATTTGCCTGATGAGCCGCTTAACAGTGAAGAACTTAAAAAAAATATGAAAGAACAAAAAATATTTTTTTTCAAAATTATCGTGTGCATGATTTGATGGAAGAAATAAAGGAGTAGGAACAAATCATAACATAACAGACCACTTTAAGAATCTCGAGAAATAAATATAGAAATTAAATAAAAAGGCACACAATTATGTAGTGAAATAAACTGAATTAATTAATTCAATCGCAGATTTCTTTCCATTATTCGTTGTTGTATTCTCTGTTGTAGTTGTTGCACCAAATTGCATCAAAACAATGAACAGCTGCTTCACATGCCATATTGTAGATTGTCATATTTTTAAACTTTAATTTATTTTCTTTTAATTACAAAGCTATTATACAGCGAATTATTGATACTTCACATTTGTATTGTTATAAAGTTTAAATAACAATAAAAAGTAAAC